TCCCTTGCTTTGTGTTTGCTCATGGCGAATTAACCCTGAATCTCTAAAAAATACAGCCTCAGTTTGCTGTTTTTTTGCAAAGGAACTCGATACAACATTTGCTCCCAGGCAAACTTACTCTATTACTTTCTCTACTTGTGCAGGTGTATAAATTTTGAAATTCTAGTTACAAAAGCCATCACTGGTTACAAATACAGATTTAATGCTGGCAGAGCCAGAGCAGCAGACAGCCACATTTCCTGCCCCGCTTGCTTGTTTTGCCTGTTGACAGAAATGATTCATCTCATGTTTACACTCTGCAGTCAGTGCCGTGCATTTCCACAATCTGTCAGGCTGATGGTGAAAGCTGTTGACGTTCACAAACTTTTTCAAGACTGAGAAAATACACTGGAAATATACCAGACTCTGTTTGAGTTAAATCATCTTTGTGTGCTTTTGGCTTATTGTGACACCAGGCCGTGACTTCGGCTTTTTAGTTAAAGGAGAAACCAATTTTATAACTGTTTATTTTGTCTTTTAGGCATAAAGAAGACCTGTCGAGCAGAATGACTCCAGTGGCACCGAATGGAACAAATGGAACATCTGTGGCATTGGGTATGTCGTTGTTGTTGTTGAACTTTTCAGACCTCTACATCCTCACTGTGAATGTTTTTTTTCCAGAAAAACCTAATGTATACGATCAGATACATGCAATAATCAGACAAACCACCAGGGTGCAGTTATTTATGCACCAGCAGGCCTTCACTTGGGACATTCAATATGGCTGCTGTCAATTAGTGACCCAAATGTGTTTTCTCATGGAGATTATTGCCAATTTTGAAAAAGGTAATGAAAGAAAACTTTAAAAAATCTATTAAAACTTCAATTGAAATAGTTGCTGCATTGATGCAAACTAAAACTACTTCAAATTTCGTAACTTTTTTTTATAGTAGAACTGTGTTGAAAATGTGTGTATTAAATTAGATACAGCAGGTATGTAAGGTACTTTCTATGCAAATCTCCTGTTCAAAAAAAATTTGACTTGTATTTTTAGGTCCAATAAAATTTTTTAATTTTCTGAAAATTACTTAATGGTTTACTTTACAGGGTTAAAAAAAATGCAACAGCCCGTTGTGCGGGGCAGACCTGCAGACATAGTTCTGTTTTTCTGCAATCACACTTATACAGAGGCTTATATGACTGCAGGATCATACATTAGGAAGGGACTTTAAATTCGGGGTATTGATATTAACAGTATAGGAGGCAGACACCCTGAAGAGTCCTCTATGAATCTGATATTAGAGTGCAAGAGCAAGCTGACCTTCTGCACCCTGGTTTTACTTTTATGAGGGCTACACCAAATTCAACCCCGTGTGCAAATTCAGATGTTTACCTCCTGAAAATGTGACTTAGTCTTCCTCCTGTGTTAGCTTTTACTACGCATCCACTTTTTTAACAGGCTTGTTTCGACCTGCATCTTAAATCAGCTGTAAATTACACTAAAAACGATTCTCTATCATCCAGTTTTGTTCTCATCTTGATCTCAGTATTCTGTGAGATCGCATTAAATAGAGATACTGACTCCTCCTGCAAACTCCACATGTCCTCAGCAAGAATATAAACATAGAATACGTCACTAAACTAAGCCTGACACCAGTTTACGTCATTTTTGCATCATTTCATTGTACATCACATTTTTTATTTACATATGTTGATTTTTTTGTAGCAATGTTGCTGCTTCACAGCACTAAAAGTTTTTCTCTGTTCTGTCAAGCTGCTCCAATTAGGGTTAATGGTGTGGTCGTGTAATTTTTCCTTCCACAACAAAGCCCTTTTCATACACTGCTGCTTTTGTGTCTGAGCTTTTGGCAGAGTACAGCCGTCGTCCATTAGAGCCAGCAGAAAAATAAAGGTGCTTCAGTGAGCCTGTCCCCCAGGTGCAGCATGGTGCACATGGGGACCTTTGGGTGATCTGGGGGCAGAGTTTTTGTGGCACGGCACCAAGAGAAAAAAAACAGATATGCACACAACAGATGGTCTCAGTAGTCTGACACATAGAGACGAGGCCTCGGCTGGCACTTGGTAACAAACCCACAGAGAAACAGGGAGACAGAGAGGTCTGGGACTCTGTCAGGTGGATGTGTGAGTCATGGGTTATGTAGACTTCTACAGAAAATAAATAACAAGCAACAGATATTTCTACACTGCCTTTATTAAAGGAGATACCAGACAAACAGAGCCGGCCCAAGACTCAATGGGGACCTTAGCAAAATTTGATTTTGGGGACTTCTATTTCTGCCAATAATATTGATTGATCATTCACACACCTTCACAAATCTCTTTGATTAGCATTCCATGACGTGCAAACATACCTTTATCTTCGTGTTTTTTTCTCTTCTTCCTCTTTCTTTTCTCTGCTCCTGAAGGATATGTCCTTTTTTGTGACATTGTTTTGCCCCACAACTACCTGCACTTTGGATGCTCAGTGCACATTGCACAGCAGAAGGCACATAACGGTAGCATAGCTTTGACATATCGGCAGTAAGAATCATAGGCCTACATCAGCAGCAGCATTCAAATGGTTTTTACTTTATTTTATTTTTACAATAATATATATTTGATCCTACAGAAAGCATCACTCATACATGCAGAAAAAAAAAATAAATATATATATATATATATATATATATATATATATATATATATATTTTTTTTATTGCTCTTGGGGGCCACCTATTGGCCGCAGGGCCCTAAGCAGGCGCTTAGTTCACTTCTGCCTTGGCTCTGGTTGTAGAAATCCAAAGATAGTGATATTCTCCTGAATGAAAACAGCTCCATTAAACTCTGCTCCATTATTGTTTGCTATAATGTATTCAAAACTAAACAGTCTAAAACAGTACAGATGCACATAAACCAGATTGGACCCTCAGTGGCCTCACAACATAACCAAACAGCCTCATCGGGTTTAGATTCAAATGTTGCTGAAGTCTATCGGTGCATTGATGCAGTAGTATATCACTGTCCCTTTAAAGCTCATGGGGCATGGACCATGATTAATCTAGTAATTAAGTCTTAACAAGCCATTTAGTATCAGTTTGCACACACCCACACCCACTACAGTCTCCAATGATTTGAAAAAAAATCGTCACCATGCTTAATGAATTTTGCTGTAGGAAACTAAAAGTCACAAATCTGTCAGTCCTCCAAAAATCTCAGGAATCATGGCCTCTTCTTTTTCTTCAACGTTTCCTTAAATTGTTTGCTTCTGTAAAGCTCTGGCCCAATTATTCGGTCAGTAAACATAATCAGGGCCTCAGGATGACAGAGTAAATTGAAGAGTGGTTTTTGCACGCTGCCTTTGCTTTCCACACTCTTTCGTCAATACCCAATTATCCTCTCTATCGCTATTCCTGCACGGGACTTAGAATGGTGTCCGTGGTGCATTGTTTTCTTATTGCAACAATCCAGAGTGACATATTGAACAACCGTTAAAGGCACTTGCAGGTTTATACAGGCGACAGTGAAGCTTGAGTTGAGAAGGGGTATCACAGATGGATTCCTGTAGATGGTTTATTCTTGGTTATTTTTTCCTATGAATGTCTTAAAGTGACAGTTTGTTCAGTGCCCCTGCCATCTGTGGCTGCTGTGAGCATACTCGTATTCAAACACAATATCCACCACAGGAATCAGGAGATGCATTTGGCTTTTTATGTGCGTATAACATCACTGATTATCAGAATAATCAAAGATATTGTTAGTATTTTAGTATTGAAGGGATTGGCCATGAAAGGTCAATCTGGTGGGTGTGTTTAACCTCTTGGCGAAGACCTACAAACCCTCTTCAATTTCTCAAAGCTCAGGATAGTCCAGTGTCTGATGCTGCATGCTTGTTTTCGCTGTGAATCCCCGTTTTTGAACAAGCCCACACATCCTCTTTTGATTTTTTCAAGGCTGATCAGACGCAAAAGAGCCAATTAACTATTTAGAGAAACAGATTCTTTGGTCTGACCATGAACTGAGGAGAGGAAGTGGTCTGCAGACTGATGATGCTTCATTTCCTGACAGATATGGATTTCATAATGGATGAACACAGACTCACTGTCTCCTTCATTACTCTCTAAGAGGATAAATGTGTTGTCTCGCCTCTTTTCTGTGTCGCACTAAAAACAGCACGGCCCGTCTAAGCTTTCCAACTAGAGTGGGGTATTTGATGTACTCTGCCGCGTTGCTTTTTCTTTTCTTAATCATGCTGTTCAAGTAACATAACTTTTATATGAACTTTTTATTTATACTAACTTAAATTCAGAGGTAAATAACATCATTTTTGTCCAAGCTCTGTTTGTGGACTGTGTGTGTGGCAGTTTTTTAAATATGAGGCATCAGGAGAGCTGTAATTAAATGAACACACCTGTGTGGATAAACAACTGACAAACAAAGGCACATTTCAGCTGTTGTGGATCTACTTCACTAAGAAGGAGACGATTAAAACAGGTAGGCCGGAGGAAAAATAGCCAGTTGAGCACACAGTGGAAAACTTGATGAAGACAGTATTTTGGACTTTGGATAAGAAGGTTTAAGTAGCCTGTAAGGTGCAAACACAGGTGAATCCACCAGTGCATCCTCCAGTTCAACTTCATATCGACTTAGGCGCTACATTGCATAGCCAAATGACACATTGAAAATCACTCATTACTGGTCCCTGACAGCTGACTTCTGTTGTGGCTTTTATTCTATTTGCACCCTTTTATTTTAGCAGAAACGTTTTTTTTTGTTTGTTTGTTTTTTTTTTGCATCGCCACTTTTTTTCTGCGTAGTTAACTTCTGTTTTTTTTTTTTGTATCTGCACCATTTCTTTTTTTTATTTGCAGCTCGATTAAGTTTCTTTTTTTTAATTCTTTTTTTTTTTTTTTTTTTTTTTTTGCAGCAGTGGCGGTTCTCGGCCACCGTACCGTAGACTTTGGTTGAGCCAATCAAATTGAAAAGGAAGAAAGTGTAGCCGATTCAAAGTGTGGTCCGAATCCGTGGAAATTTAACTCATATCTAATGCTGGATTAGCACCACACGTCTGGAAAGTCCTGACTACCTCACCCAATGACTCTTAGCACTATGTACCGACAGGACGCTGGCCTTAGCCACTACCGACGCGCAATGTCGGTCATTTTGCTCCAAGATGCCACGACAGACTTGGATCACACACCGGGGGATTGAAGCGGCGAGTGACCGGGGAGGTAAGCGCTCGGTCGGCGTAGATAAGAGCAGACTCCACGCTGACTCCTAGGCTGGAGAGTTCAGTCAGTCCACCGAGCACTCATGTCTATGTTGAATGAATAAGAGGTGGATTATCAGTTCCACTGCCACCCCTTTACTGTGGACCACTGCCAACCAAACAGAGAGCATGCATAGAGAGGGAAAACTTCAGGTGCCACAGTGTGTAACAGAAACAGGAATGAATAAAAAATAGAAATGCAGATTTTGGCAGAAAGGAGTAACAGCTATCAACAAACACCCCTCAGTTGGACTCACTTAAAGTATAAACACTTACAATTCACACATTAATTTCCCTAGTGACCTAATTCTAATTCATCCTCTTCCTTGTGTGTGCATACTCCTCTATAGGCCTCATAATGAAATCTTACTTTGCTCTGCAGATAAACATTAATTGCTCACACTCATCCTCCTGATAACAAAGCCTTTGCATTGGTCCCATGTGTTGTTACAGTGAGCTTTATCCTTAAAATATAAACAGCGTTGCTTTTCCTGTCACTGCTGAATTCTGAATCCATCCATCTATTACTGCTGTCACCTCACCATGACAGTGTTTCTTTAAATATCTCTGTTGGAATAGACATAATTATCACACTGAATCTCTACTTTTGACACATTTAGTTCACAACTCGAAGACAAAACAACACAGCTGAACTGATCTCTGTGTGCAGGTGTGTTGCAGCTCTATGTTATTGCATAATTTGGCTGTCCATTATTGGTAGGAGCAGGACATACTTCTCCGCTGATAAAATTTGAATACCCAGCAGGGCTGTCATGAATCATGGCGGGGATTAAAGGCTTTAGTCCTGGTGCCCCCTGAACGGGCAGGCAGCTGTGCATTCAGGGATGTAGCAGAATGCATTTGCCCCAGAGCGGGGACGTTTAGCAGGGGTCTTCTCGGCTCATCTGCTTCGTCTGATGGAGAAATGTCTCTGCATATATACATTGTAGGTGGAGGATTACAATAGCGTCTGTGTGCATGTATATGAGCTCCAGGTGTGTCCTCTGTAGGTGTGTGATAGTTTCTCTAATTCAGAAACTTCTGTTAAAAGACAAACCAGTCGTCCTTTTTGGCTCCAGTGGCTACAGAAAAACACCTGTAAATAATTTGTTACTTAAAACTGTTCTATAATTTCACTCTAAGCCATCCAACTGAGCACCATCTGAGAAAAAAACTAAAGTTACTCCACTGTACCGAGAAGTGGGGCAGCTTCTTCCCCCCAAGGACATTAAAGATGGATTTGTTTGTGGTTCAAGCTTTTCAGGGAGAAACTTTTATCTTCACAAACAGAGCAGAGTCAGTCCTCTACTATTCCCACAGCAGCCTTTTAGCTTTAGTGATATCTTTGCTGCTGAATATCTATCATCAGGGGTTATTTAAAAAGCATTATACTCGTCTGAACACAGAGGAAAAGGCCATGGGCAAACGCTGTTATTTCAGAGCTTTAGAGCTCAGTGAACTTTGAAAAAATGTCTCCTTAGTTATCCTCTTGAACACAATCTCAGGAGGACCAGTGTTTTAGGCAAATTCACTTCCCAGAATTTCAGTATCTTAAGTTTGTAGACAGCAAAATATGTATATTTAAGAGCAGGAACGACAACAGTAAGGGTGTCGTTGGATGACATTCATTGGATGAGTATGGTGCAGGATTGCATTCAGGTCTGGGGAACAGGCAGGCCAGACAATAGCATAGCTGATGGTCTCTAGCCACATGAGGCAGGATTTGCTTACGCACCAGAAGGAACCCAGGGACCACTGCACCAGCATATGGTCTGACAATGGTTCGCAGGCTCTCATTCCTGGATTTAACAGCAGTCAGGGTACCTTTGGATAGCACATGGAGTTCTAAGACATGCCTCCCCAGACTTTTACTGACCCTCCATCTCCAGACTCTCTTGTCTGCACTGCATGCTCTCTAGTGTTGACTGATTCATGTTAGCATCAGATGTTCCCCATTAGAGTACCTGCATTATAGTGATCAGGGTCACTACTGTATTTAGTATATTGGCATGACATCTGGCAAGAACTGATAATGAGAGCAGGCAGCTTTTATTTGTCAAAATTATGTGCTCTTGCAGTCAGTCAGAGGGGTCCAGCTGTTAGCGTTAATACACAGTATATGATGAAAAATTGTAGGAGTCAGAGAAAAGCAGGATACCATTACTGTAGTTGGTATAAAGGAATAAAACTTAGCAATTTCTCATCATAAATACACCTGAGGTTATTTCAGCTTTTTTCTGTCCTCTTAGTTCACTTGAGTCGACTTTAAGTCAACTACAGGAAGAAAATAAAGAGTGAAAATAAGAGAAGATTAAGCAACACATAAAGAGAAAGGTTTCTGCCCACTCCCTGTTCAGCTTGTATTATTTAATATGTTGCATGTGTGTATTTCAAAGACACGCTGACATTTAAAGCAGACTATAATGTTTGTAGGGTGGAGACTTAAGGTGGTGTTATAAAGATAGCTTCCGTCATCACTGTTGTTACACAGGTCACTTGTCATTTCGTTGTCTGGCTGAGAGAAAAGGTTTGAAAAGTTGAAATTTATGCCTGAAACTTTACCCTGACATGCACTTGAAATCAGCTTCGCAGACGCATAAGTGTCTTTATTTGACATAGTTTTTTGTACACTGCATATTGTGTATTTGGATCATGTATTAGAGGAAAACTCACCAGTTGCCAGTGGTCTCCATCTCTCATGGCATAATTGGTCTCTGCTGATTGCTTAGCACTCTGATTAAGAAATTCCATTAAAATTGATGTATCATGCTTCCAAGTGCTTTTCACTCTTAGATAGCTCCTTCAATCAAGTGATAATTACGTACATGATTTATGGCCGGGCTTCATTTTGGACTAGTTTACAATAATTAAAGTGGCACAGCTTTTTTAGTTCACAGTGTGAGATATTAGCTTCTTTGTGAGATAAATGGAAAATGTTTTTTTTCTCATTAGTTCCGACCCAGGGTGAAGAGTCCTCCCTCTCTCCTCCTCTCGTCCAGAGCCTGGCTGTGGTGCCCCTGACATCCATCTCCCCAGCAACGTTTCCCACTCCTCCTTATCCGTATCCTTATGCTAGACAGGATACACAATCCCACAGGTATGTTCTTGGTCTTCAGGGTCTCTTCTTGTTTGACTAGACTGGTTGACCCCCAGAGGGAGGCGCCATAGAGGCATCCTCATCAGATCCAAAACACCTTCACTAGCTTTGCTGTTTGCTTTATAGTCATTTGTGATTTTGGGGCTTTGAGTTTTATTTTGATGGGACAGGTTGAGAGTAGACAGGAAACATGCCTGCTGTCTTTGCTTGTTGAAATAAATCTTTGATGCATCTGATTTCAACCTTTCCATAGATTTTTTTAGTAGTTTTTATGACTCCAGCTCTGTTTTAACCCATTTAAACCGGGACAGCATATACGCATTTCTGCCCTTCAAGCCGGGAGCGCGGATAGGTCATTTTGTAACATTCTGTAGTTTTTCAATCGTTTCTGGAGTCGTGGTGAATCAAATTATCATACCTGTCTTCCTCTGACAGGCTAAGAAAGCTAAAAAAAAGCGATAGGATTCATGCTCTGATTTTGCTACGTGCTTCGTGAGGAAAGTAAACAATGACAGAGGCAGAGATGTTTTTCAATAATATGATGAAGGTTCGGACAAATGAACGATAATCAGCTTGAAAGCCACATGTATAAGCTCTCGAATACTTTTTGAATTTTGTTTCTATCTGCTACAGAGGCTGAGATATAGGCTTTTTTGTAAACCTCAACACTTCAGAAAACCTCAGGATCTGGGGGTCCTTCTCAAAATTGCCCTCAGGATTTCAGAGGCGTGTCTCAGTCAGGGTTCAGGTCTTAATGGCTTAAATAATTTAGACTAAGTTTTGGGGATAGAAAAGGGAGCAGCAATCACTTAAGATAGAACTTAAAAAAAAAACAACAACACAGAACCAACTGTGACCGAGTTTTCTCTCTCCGTGCTTCCCCGCGTTTGTGTGAAATTGTTTACCATGAACAGATGGCCGGCACGTGAATTTTACATACAATTTTCTGCTTCAGCTTATTCGCCAACTGTTGTCGTCGTCTCTGCAGGTGTGGATGGCGATTCTCCAAAGATCTCATTTGCCTGTGATGAGTTTTTCTATCCACCAGAGACCAAAGGTAGGGTATGCTATGAGAAGCTCATTACGCTGCGTCCCAGTGATCGTTTTATCATGCCACAGACGAACCGCACAGTGGGAGCGATTGCAGCCCTAATGATTGCTCTTGAGTTATTTTGATAATAGTTCAAACCCATAAAAGAATGATAGTTTTGACCCTGAAACAATCAGATTACTTCCACTTTTCTGCCCATGCAGCAGTCTATGTTTTCTCGGCTGTGTGATCTTTGTATCTGTACTTGTTTTGTGCTGCTGGCCTGATTTAGTGCTGGTCTGATATACAGCGTTATTAATTCTGCTTGACTTCTCTGCCTGCCGTTGTTTCTCCTCCTGCAAAGATCTCACAATTCTGTCAGCGAGGCAGACCAGGTCCGTCTCTGAGCAATTACAGAGTTAGAAATCTGATCTCAGGTCAGTGAGAGGCAGGATAACAAAAGTTTGCCCTTGCATTTTAGCTCGCCGGGTTTTTCTGTTCGTCGTGGCTGCTCTTAACCTGAAGCTTGTTTATTATCGGCCCTCAGACGGTGAGCTGGAGCTGTCTGTAGCAATCATTCTCAAGGCCTCCTCGTATAAGGCGCGCTCTCGTGCTAAGGAAAACACATCTCCTCGTAGCACACAGAGCCCGTCGGACATGGGTGCCATCAGCTGGCAGCCGAATTGCCGCTCTGGATGTTGAGGAAAGTCTGAGGGTGGTGCTGAAAAAAAGCCTCAAGGGCACGCTGCCACACCTCATTAGGGGGAAAGTTACATCTCCCTTTTCAAGCAGTGCAGTAAATCATAGATGAGAGGTGTGAGAAAATGTGGTACCTTTTTTTTGTAGCTAAAGTTTGTGCTCTTTTATAAACCTTACAATGACTTTGGACCTAGCATTACAACTTTGAGTGCTCTCTCGGACAGCACCAGTAATCCTGGGTTATCTGTGGGGACCAGTGTAAAATTTAGGCATAGATTTATTTCTGAATGAATCTATTGTAGGAGTATGATGAATACTAAGTGCAGGATTAAAAGACTGAACTGCCTTTTTGTCTGTCAAAATACCCACATCTGGTAATTACATAGAATACAGAAAAGTAATAATTTTTCATCTGAAAAGTAGAAAAGGAGGACGGATTTTGCCTAAGCATAATTTTAATTACTACTTAGTTATTAAGGAAAAAGTGCAGTCCACTGATTTGACGTCTAATGAATGTATTGAAAGGCACAGATTTGCAAACCATTCAGAACTGAAGTCTAAGTATAAAATGAGAAATCCGCTGAAATCTTCGATTTGTCCATTTTTTTATTCAGAGTGAATTTTCAGGAACTTCCTCCGTAGGTGACCAACAGACATGTATATACAAACAACGAGGGGAAAAGCTTCAATTAGAACATTTTAAACATGCATCAGTGTCACATATATGACCATAGGGAGTCTGCCTTCTGCATACCAAATACATTTTATATCCATCTGGTGAGCTTGTCAGTTCTGGCTATCATTTCCGTCAGAGTAATGCCCATATTTGATAACACGGACGCTGTATTTGTGCGTTAAACTAACACATTACCCATGATGGAAAATGACAAAGTCATAATTACAGGTTATGCACATATTTGCCCTATGCGCCTTACCAAATGGACAACCCTGCTGCGGAGAGATAAGACTGAATATTATGTTAATTCATAGCCGTGACTCACAGTTACGAGTCATCTCCCACTGCCACAGTGTTTTTACACCTTATAATACAGCAGGAGTAGCTTTATATAATGCTAAGCACTTTTACAGTCTGTGATTTTCAGCAGTCTCCATCATTCCCTCCATCACAGGGGAGTATTTGTAAAGACACAAAGTGACAGGGGGGAGTCCGAGCGAAGCGAAGTTCCAGAAAAGGGATGCAGCTAATGATGTGACCTTTGACCCCTGTTTTTCAGCAGCAAAATCATCTTTGCTGCTGAGAGTGGGATCAGCTGAGCAGGTAGGCAAGGTCAGGCTTTCACAAGGCTCCTCTGCTGCCTTTCATGAGACGACCTGCAGCATCCACCCAGCCCCACAGACTTAATGATGGTATCTGGCACATGGACTTCCATCAGTATTAATCCCATACATGCACTGCTGGGCTCAGACAGTGGGGACAGTTTGGGGTAATGGACACTGCAGCAGGTGGAGCAGGACCTGGAATCAGAAAAATAAATCTTCCAATTGAGAGGCGACCGACTCTAGCACAGCTGGCCCTTATAGAAATATACTATATACCTCATTTGTTTTTTGGGGTGTACAGGGATTTCATCTACCCTATTACACTTCCTCATTTCACATTGTCTCCTGCACGCCCCTGCTCTGATTGAGTCATGAGGCACCAGCCCATGGTGGAGAGGAATAAAATCCTCAGAGGCTTTCAGACACACACGCATACACAATATGAGTTTTAGCATGGCGTGTTTTCCAGGCCATCGAGTCAAATTTCAGCAAATGGGACATGCTGGGACTTTCAGAAGTGCTTTCACTAGGGTGTCTCTTTTTTACTTGAAGTGCCCACAGGGACTGAAGCATAAACACATCATAAGGAAGAGGAGAAGTATGAAACTACTTCAGCGGTAGTGCTCACACTGAGGGGGAGAGCGGTAGAATAAGGACGGCACTTCTGTGTTTAAAACTGTTTCAGAAACTGTCAATTCAGCTTTTACTCACTGGATGAAACTTCAATTTTTTTTGGTTTAGACGCCTCAGAGCTGTCTGTAGTGATTTCATGATGTCATCTGGATCTGACAAAAATGCTTTTAAATTATTTTTTCTTCTCTGTGCAGTATCTGAAAATATCAATTCATATAGTTTTGGCTGTCTCGCATCTAATTATCATATTTTAGCAACTATAACTATTAAACCGCTAAGCTGTACTCAGTGAAAGCTGAGTGTAGAGTCAGTGGCATTGATAAGATCATTTAGGACCTTCATTGTAGCAGTGATATGGTGATTTTTTCTGAACCCAGATTTCAGTCTAGGGCTGGGCGATAAACCAAAAATTTACCGATGCCAAAATTTATGACAATAACCAAAGTCATTTTGCCCATGTCAGTATATTCGTTGTCAAAAAATAAATTAATAAAAGTTGGTTTTGGATGTGTGTAGGTAGGCTATAGCCTCATGTCCCTTTAAGACACTGTCCTACGTCAGAGACGTGACTCCACCCCATCCAGTCCGTAACAAAGAGGGAACGACAGGTGAGGAGATAGAGGACGGTTCAGAAGTTGTAGCAGCTGTTAATGTGGGAGGGGGTGAGCAGTTTGTAGAGTAGTTATCCTCCATTTATTGTTATTGAGGTGAACTGCTCAATATATCGTGATATTGATTTGAGGCCATATCGCCCAGCCCTACTTCAGGCAATATCAAATGCTTTGATATGAAAAAAAATCTTAGGTAACGTTTTACAATAACCATAACTTATAATTGTTAAAAGACCATTTAAAATGGTAAGCAGATAGTTTATTATTGTTTAAGCATCATTTATTAATAGCATATAAACCATTAATAAAAAACCATTAATAAATTGTAAATTTTACAATTTTAAAAACCTAACCCTAACCGTAACTTTACAATAACCATCTAAGTAATGTCTTTATCAGTGGTTTAAAAACCATTTATTAATCATTTACAAAGTGCTACTGACACACATTTTAATCTAGATGTTTTACAACCAATATTTAAACCCTATATAAATCTTTAATAAATAGTCCATTCATAATTAATGAAAATTATTAATCATAATTTCATTGCTTGTTTATGGTAAAGTAACTATTAACATTAATAAACTATCTATTTTCCATTTATAATTGGTCTATATGCTGTTTTTAAATGATGATTAAATATTAATAAACTATCTATTTACCATTTAAAATTATGGTTATTGTAAAGTGTTACCAAATCTTTTATTAACCTGCCGACAAACTCTTCCAAACACTGAAAGTTTAGAAATTATTGGAATTCAACAACAGCCTGTAAAAGGTTAAACATACTCACTTAATATTTATTTAGATATACCTGAGCAGTTTTTCTGTTTTAAACTGTCATAAAAAAAATTCCCTCATGTTGACAGAGCTGAAAAGTGCGTAGCGTCACCAGCCGTCCCTCCATCCATCTCTTCATCCTGAAATCCTGTCAGCCGTGGTTTGTCTGAGCCCTCTGTTGCCGTCATTTTCTCTCTAGTGAAGAAGTCTTGCAGCCTGATGAAATCACGCAGACGTTTCAGGGCTCACAGTGAATCTGTCATGTCAGCTGTCTTATTTAAAAATATCTCCACCTGAGCTTTCCCTCGTACTGCTCGGCCTCTGTGCACGTCATGCCAGATTGATTTTTTTTCACTGTGTGTCTGTGCTCTGCACGTGAAGAGACATTACGTTACCCGGGCTGACTCTGTATTATCAGAGCACTATTGGAGGATGTTTATTTGTTCAAGTTTCTGCTTAATATATCACAAAAAACTACATTTCCTCTTATTTGTAAAAGTGATTTTGACTCACTGTAACATCAACAATGATGCAAACAAGACAAAGCATAAACTTCCCACTATACTCGGTTGAAACAAATGTCCCTCTACTCTCTGAAGTGGCTCGAAAAGAAATCTGATTTCCTCTCTTTTTGCCTTCAGGGTCAAGCTGTTGAACAGAGCAGCAGCAGCTTCCTGTCCAGCATCAGTTCAGAGACACTCTGATATTGTGAGCAGCAACAGTCGGTCTGCTGCCTCGCTCCAAAGATACATTTATGAGATGTGATTTCTTCGCCTGCTATGAAAAGTACCATAAACTTTCCCTACGTTGCTAATCTGCGAGGGACCGGATTTCTTCTGCTGAAATTAATTTCCCAACAGGGAGTCTTATCAAAGCACTCAGATGCACTCTCTTATCATCTGCAGTCAGTGGGTCAGCAAGAACATTAACTCTGAATTAATTGTGAGTATGAGCTGCACAAAGTCAGATTTAGATACTGTCTTTGTGCAGGTCATTGTGGCACGTCTCTTTGCCTCTATGTTTTAGGGCATTTTGCACGGCTCTTTATAAACTTAACTGAGGTTGCAATCAAAATTAATATCATCCCAGCTGATCACACAACTCAACAGTTTTCATGGTTGTAAACAGAAACATAAAAGCTGCAGCTTTGAAAGTGTTGATGAATTAATGATTCTCCAGCATGGAGAATGAAACAGGTTGATATGAATAGAGGGCTAGGAATGCTGTAGAGGTTTCAGATGAGTAGGTGTTGTTGGCCTTGGGGAGTGAGAGAGAAGGAAGTCCTGATGACAAACTGATGAAAAGAGAAACATCCCTCTACCTACAGCAGTGCTTATGGTCTCATGTCCCATTTAAGATGCTGTCCTACGTCAGAGACATGACTCCACCCCATCCAGTCTGTAACAAAGAGGGAAAGACAGGTGAGGAGATGGAGGACGGTTCAAAAGTTGTAGCGGCTGGAGCAGCGGCTGAAAAAAATGTGGTGGGGGTGAGCAGTTTGTAGAGTAGTTATTGTCCATTTATCTTTATGGAGTTGAACTGCTCAATATATTGTGATATTGATTTGAGGCCATATCGCCCAGCGGTAACTTGTAGCTTTCTAAACCATGAGTAAGTTTGAGAGAAAGGACTGGGGTGGTTGAAGACCTTATCATCGCGAAGAGGGGTTACATTTTCTCAAGATCTGACCCTTAATACTGTGATCTCTTTTCTCTCCTAGAGTCTGTAAAGTTCTGCATCCTGTTTTTTTTTTTCTCTCCCATACATGCTGTGGCGCTCTGTCTCAAATCACTCAGTGCTTGAATTTATCTGAAAAACCACGAAGCAGGTTTGCGTAATGAACCATTTTTGCGACACAGCGAAGTCTGTTTCTGAGGGAGAATGCAAAGTGAGTGTTGGGGATAAAGCACAGACCTTCAGGTTTCTGCCTTGGGGAAAAAAAGGTAATAATCTCAGCACGATTTAGTCTGTTGAGGTTTTAAGGTCTTTTTTTCCCCCCAATTTCTCCAGGGCAGCTTGTATTCCTGCATACCTGCTCCATGTATACATTAAACTATATACATTTCCATTTCCTACGATACAAGTTGGAATTATTAGATTCAGTGTTGCACTAAAACTCAACAAACAAATGAATAAAGAAATCAAAGTGGCAAAAATCAATGTCGTATAAAAGCAGAGTCTCATTAACAGCACCTTTTAGGTTTTTTTGCTTTAGACTTGTAGCTGTAGGCTAACCTCGGTAAAAAAAAATAAAACCCAGATGAAAGGACCTCATACTTTTCCTCTTCGCCTGGTTTAATGGAGCGTGTGAGAGTCAAGGTGAGCTGCCCTTGCCCTGGTCCAGGCTCCATTCAAACGGCCTCCATATCCTTTTTCCAATAGACTCAGTCGAACAATAATCACTAAGGCAGAGCAGCTGGAGGAGTTATTAAAGGAAGACCTTTCCTGAGGGTCGCTTTTACAGCCTGATTGCCCTCCATTTGCTCCCAAGAACTCACCTTTTTTTCATGACCTGCAACAGTTCGCCCTTTTTTTGTCTGAAATTGATTTTCAGTATAAATGCGGCCCCAAACTTATTAGAAATGTTTCCTTTTCCCAGGAGAATTTCAAGGCTTAACCTAGCTGCCTTCCTGTTGAATTAGACATGTGTGGACATGTTTAACTTCATGGTCAAGAGTGAAAGTCCAGCTGTCACTCAAACTGTTTGCTTTCTTGTGAAGCTGATAGAGGCAGACTCTCGAGGCCGGTTGTTTTGGAACTGATATTGGTGGGAATGAAGCCCAGATTTCACAGATATGTGGTCTCACTGTTCGTAGATTCAAATCCCATCCAGAATTTCCATCCAGAAAACATGCAACACTGTGAAACTGCTGTCTGTCACTACTTTGCATTTAGTGTGGCTCAGATGGTGAATTGAATCAACTTAAACCAAGTCTGGAGTCTATTAGCCCTGCAAACTGAGCATTAGCATGTAGCTCAGAGCATCATGGATGGAGCCAGAGTCCTTTTGAATGACTGTTATACACTTTAAGCTGTCAAATAATCTTTGTTACGGACTTATTTATTCAACAGGTGAACTTTTAAAGTGAACAGAATCAAATCACTTCACGTGTTGTCTTTCTTTGCCAAACCCGAACCTCACATTAGAAAGTGTCTGGGAGATATATGAAGAGGATCTTTCCTTTTCAAATGGCTTTATATATTTCTTTCAGCCTGGATTCATCTGTGAGGAGTGTATATTTACTTACAGCCAACTGCTATTTATCACATTTGGCATCGTTAGTTGACTCCCATCAGCCTGTAGAGAGGAGTCACTTCACCGACCAAAGTATGAGGATGAAAAAGATGCATTTTTCTCAGAACACCTACAACCTGATTATTTACCAAAGTGCTTATTCAGGTAGTTCTGTGTTCCCTGAAAACAATCTTAAAGATGAATCACTCAGCTAGATTTGTCTGTGGAAATCTGTAAATCAGTTCACCTGAAATCAGCCGGACACAGTCAGGCTTCAGTGTTAAAAGACCTAATTTCTGTGTTTTTATTTCACCACTAGATTAAATGTCACAGCTAGCAGAGCCCCTCAGTGTACTGTAAACGCTTTTATAAAAATAATACAAGATAAATAATGGTGTTAAAATAATTTTAAAAAATGCTTCTGATTGCCTATACTGCTCTCAATGCTAAATTTTACAACACAGTTAAAAACAAACAGGGACTGTTTGTTTTGGTTTGATACGTAGTTAAGGGGAATAAAAAAAGATGTGTTATCATTTAAAAAAAATGCTATTGATTGCTGATATTGCTCTCAATGCTAAATTTTACAGCACAGTGGAAATGGAGTCAAACAGTTTGACTTGGGGCTCCCTCAGCTGGGACTGCAGCTCCACATCTGCCAATAGTGTTGACTCCTGTGAGAGCAAACTAACAAAAACCGATGAATCTGTGAAGGTCCTCAGGATAAAGGTGAGCAGCTGTCTCCCAGGACCCCAAGATGGTGAAAAAGGTGATTCATCCTCCCCGGAAGAAGCAAAGGCAGAGGAGGAAACAGGATGCTCCGATGTCCCTGCTCCTGCTGCCTCCAAGGCTTTTTTTAAATTCAGTTTCAGAGGTCGTCTCAGGAGGAGCGTCTCTGATAGTAAAAATGAGAATGACACTCCAGCAGAGTGTAAGAGGGACAAGAAGGAGAAGGGGAAGTTCCCTCAGTGGATGAGGAGAAACAGAGTCCAGCCAGCCCCTCTCAAAAATGAGCCAAAACCAAAGAAGAGCGAGCAGCTCAGGAAATTCCTCAGCAGTCCGTTCTCAAAGGTAAGGACGCTTTTATTTATGAATTATTTGATGGTTCATGAAGGAAGTTTCCTGCACTGGTCCAGACATGATGGTTTTGGACATTTAGAGTTAATATTTCTGTACTAAGTGTTTGTCATTTTTTCACACAAAGAACGAGAAGCTGAAGAAGGAGGAGAAGCAGGAGAAAGAGAAGAAGCAGGAGAAAGAGAAGGCTTCACCTGACAGGAATGTTCGCTCACCTCCATTCTGGGTTCAGCTGGTTAGCGGCAGTCAAACCAGACGCTTAAACCTGCAACATTAAAATCGGGACCAGCATACAAGGCTGGCCTGAAAATGTTCTCTTTGTAAACAAACCAAGAGATAAATAAATGACCAAAAAAGAGCTTCTCTCATGTTCTCCTTTTTTAATCTTATCAGTAAACCTTCATCTGGGAATTATTCAGGAATAATTATACACTTTTAAACTAACCAAACAGGTCTAATGAAGTCCATTAAATTCACAATTCACTTCAGAGATTCACATAAATCAAATAGTCACTTTTGGTGTAAATATGTGGCCAATAAAACAAAATCAAATATAGATCCAAATTATCTCTGAATACAAGTTGGAAAGAAAGTAAAAACATGCTCCAAGTGTTTATAAAAATCAACAACTTCATTATAAAAGGTGTTTGAGGATTTTACTTCTAAGAGAGTAAAATTTTGTGGTTTTATGTTTCACTGAACTTAAAGGTAATGTTGACTCTTTGTGTTACACCCTCTTAGGAGAAATAATACAAGGTAAATATTAGGGTTAAAGTCGTGTACAGATTCATTATTCCACACACATTAAAATCTAATATACACGGCTGTCTTAGACAATAATATGTTTTAGGGAGGATTTGTAATGAACCATTGAAAAGACACAGATATATTGGGTTATGCTATTGATTGCTAATATGGCTCTCAATGCTAAATTTTACAATACAGTTAAAAAAAAACAGGGACTGTTTGTTTTGGTTTGATACGTAGTTAAGGGGAATAAAAAAGATGTGTTATCATTTAAAAAAAATGCTATTGATTGCTAACATTGCTCTCAATGCTAAATTTTACAATACAACATTAAAATATCAATTAGTGACTGTTTTACTTGATATGCAGTTAAGTTCAGGTGGATAAAAAAAGATGTGATCTTGCACAGATCGACATTAAAAAAGAGATAAACCAATAGAGCTGGATTACACTTGCAGCTTAAAAGAGAAGAAAATGTTGTCAGGCTGATTGTGTATGCGCCGTCTTTCCCCTCAAACTGCTCCAGAGGATCACGCAGACGTGTACTATGGAGTCCACAGAGGATTCTCAACACCACGGCACATTGTACAGCTTATAAATCAGTCATTTCCATCCCTTCTCTCTCCCTCATGAGGCAGCTGGAACTGCTGAATCAGCTCAGATTCATATGAAGAGTTACTACTTCTACCGAGACGATATTGATTTTCCGTGTTTGTATGAGGAAAATATTCCCACACCTCTCAGATCATTTGATGCCATACTGAACAACCGTTCACACCCCAAGACACTTGATAAAAAGGAGAGAAAAAAACACAGTGTTTTATGTCATATATGTGCTACATATGTCCATGATCCTTCTTCTCCTCCCTCTGGTTTTATTTCCCTTATTTTCTAACAAACCTCTTCTATACTGGAGGGAGTGTAACACTCATACACTTTGACTCCAATGTGGGTCAGTGAGCTACATCATTGCTTCATTTGGATCAAACTCCAGCGCTCAGGAGTCATTTATCTACATAGCGTGTGTGTGTGTGTGTGTGTGTGTGTGTGTGTGTGTGTGTGTCTAACCTTCAGACAGCACACTCTCTGCCACTGGGAGAAATCAATGCTGGGCTGCAGAACAAAGAGGAAGCCCCCTGCTGATATCTCCTAGGTAGACATTTAAATCATTTATTTGTTTACTTATGCTGAAGCAATTAACATGAGCGAAGACATTTTGAGGGTACACATCATTTTTCTCTTGTTTTGATCCTTTTTGCCTTTGACTCGTTTTAATCTTCTGGATCAGACCTGTGATACAAACATTAAAAAAAACCTTGTAGAAGGATAATGAGAATATTCTTTGACATATTCTTAAAGGGGATTTCAGTACTTTCAGATAGAGGTGGAGTGGAGTCTGGAATGGACTGTTTGTATCAGAGATTTTAGATGCAGGCCGATATAATCCAATATTCAAATTTTTGCTGATATTGGACCGATATCCGATATCAGTATCGTATCCGGACACCCCTACTTCTAAGTCACTTTTCCTGTAGCGCTCTCTCTCTCTCTCTCTCTCTCTCTCTCTGTGTTTTCTTTATTGCTCTCTAAAAAAGCCTGCCAAAGAACTAACGACCTTGTGTAAAAATGTGGAGGACATAAAGGCGACTAAAACTTCACAAGGTGTCAGTTTGATATCATCAGCATGTCTGTGTTTGTCTTCAGCTGCAGTTTCCTCTGAAATTCTTCCGTATCATAACATTTAATGTAGGTATTAACAAATTCACACCCACTCCTGGTATACCACTATCCTGTTTCCACATCTCCTGTGACTCTGTCTAGCTGGTGCAGTTTGAGTGACAGCTCAGCTTGGGTATTGGTGGTTGTGGCCTGTGTCAGGGGGCCTGTAGCTGTCAGCACCCTCTGAATCCTGAAACCAGAGATGGAGCTCAGGGCGGAGGAGGCCCTGAGCTCTGCCCGTCTCTCCTCCTCCTCCTAAACAGAGCCTCCGCAGGCGTCTTGTGGTAGAAAATAGAGCCTCATATGCCCTGTTACTTGTTTCTTTGCTTGATCTGAAATCCGTGCAAAGAACCCGACGGATCAGGTGTCTGACCATCTGCATCCCTTCTCTGCCTCAGCTGTTGAAGACACATGTATGACAGCTCAGACACAGGTGCTGCTCATCACCCGGCGTCTGAAGAAAGTGTGTGTTTTGTGGCTTTGCTCGCTGACTTTCACTCAGACAGGTAAACACAAGGCCGTACATGCTCAATAAAGACCTAAAAACAGGAAGAGCCCATCCTGTGACATGCCAAACTACCCAGTGACCGTGAGGTGAACTCACTCCTCGGCAAAGGTTTAAGTGCGGTGAACGTGCACTCGTGTGTTTGTGTGTTAAGTTTAAGTGGTGTGTGGTCGAAATTGCATGTTGTGGTGGTAAACCGGTCCTGTAACCAAAGAGCAACCTTACACTTTAGCTGACCCCTGCCATGTGAAGGATAAAATGAGCGCTAAGACTGAAGCTGTCCAGCCTGACAGAGCACTTTATCTCAGCTCAGGGACCCATGACTATTTAATGACCATTCGCAGAGCAGAGGCGTGAAAACTCACCACTCTCAAGTTGTTTTGTGTGTTTGTGTTGAACTCCATTGATTGAACTCAAACCCTACATGGATGAGTGTTGACAGATGCATTATGGGAGACTGAGCACTTTATTGCTGGTGTCTGATATGTGGTTGTTTCCTGTTAACTGAGGGGAATTAAGGTCACAAAACACTCAGATTTCTGCTGCTCTTAAAAGTTTTATTTTATTGACGTCAAACCCAAAAATATAGATTCCACCAGATTTGGAGGATACAAAGACGTGTTGTGACTTCTCGTGGTTCCTGGGATGCTTGTCTCTTGACAGAGGCAGCTGGTGCAAAAACGACGAGTCATTGTCTTTTCCTAAGCCGCAGTAATTCATCAGCACTCGAAGCCGCTTTGGCTTATTGCATTTTTGACAGAGCAATCTCCACCGTGTCAGAGAGAATTTGGCTTTTATGGAGGCGACTGAGTCCAGCATACTTGCAAATTGAAGACCTTGTGTGTACGTTGTGCGTCTGTGCACAGTTTTGAGAGTCGGAGAGGTTCAGTGTTTATGATGAAGTTTCCCATCTGCTGCTTCATCAAGCCTTATTCCTTTTATCTATACTGAGATACGCATAACCCGTAACAAAATAATGGCCAATGTGAGCCACCTTTTACCTGACTGCTTTTTTAAATCATGTGTTTATGTTTTATTTGGTATCTCCACAATAGTTACCATCCAGCATCAAAGCAGCTCATCAACACAATAATAATTATAATAATAATAATAATAATAATAGTACATTTCATTTGTATAGCGCTTTTCATGATACTCAAAGACACTTTACATAAAGCACGCAATTTGAATATAGCAATAAAATAATATAAATAAATATAAGTAAGTAAAATAGTTACATGTTAAAAGCAATTTTAAAAAGGTGGGTTTTCAGAAGAGATTTGAAGGAGGGCCAGTCAGTGCAGGATCTGATATGGACGGGGAGAGAGTTCCAGAGGGAGGGTGCGGCAATGGAAAAGGCCCTGTCCCCCCAGGTTCGATGAGTCGTTCGGAGGGGTGGGGGCAGGAGGTTGGCATCGGAGGTTGCGATTGCGATTTTGGAAGACAGGGGTGATGTGGTGGAGCCATCAAGGATGCTGTTACAGTAGTCCAGTCTTGAAGTGATGAATGCGTGGATGAGGGTTTCTGCAGCCGGGGGGGGAGAGTGATGGGCGGAGGCGGGCGATGTTTCTGAGGTGGAATTAGGCGGTTCTTGTGATGCGGTTGATATGTTGTTCAAAGGAAAGGTTCTTATCGAAGATGACACCAAGGTTCCGGATGTGTGGGGAGGGGAGCAGAGTGGAGTTGTCGATGGAGAGGTGGAAGTTGTGGGCGCTGTTGATGGAGGTCTTGGGGCCGATGATGATGAGTTCAGATTTGTTGGCGTTCAGCTGGAGGAAGAGTCCTTTTGAGGCTCAACAGAAAAATAGCAGCGCTTTATTGTATTCTTAAATGTTTTTGCTCATGTGTATAAATTGCGGAGATTACTCATAATCATACAAAGCAATCCTCAGATGTGCAGCATTTCAAATGTCAATGTGCTACTCTGGAGAGCTAGGCGATAACCAGAGGATGCTCACTGTCTTCACTCGCAGCTGTGATCATGTTTACAAAAAATGACAAAAAAAATAAATAAGGATGAGGACATAATGTAGCTGAACACCCACTGTGATCTTTCTCTGTCAGGCTGTTCTCCTTCTGGATTTTGTTTAGTTTTGAACATCAGGGTTTCTTCAAGTAAAGCAAATGCCAGGGTGTTATTAAAATGTCTGCGCTTGTGGTGTCAGTACCAGCCTCTGAGTTAAGCTCCATTAAAACTTACTTTCAGCTCTCAGAACAACAAGAGAGATATGTGTGTGCGAGTCTGCGAGCTGAACAGCCGAAACTGATTCTGTTGAATGGAGTAAGAGAAACATGCAGTTTTTAAAGATTGTGCAGCAACTAATGCTCCATTTGAGAGATGTTATAACTTAGATGGATGTGAACTTTTTAAGTTCATTAATGAGATATAAATCCCCGCAGGTGTCTCTCTTTTGTAGAACTGCAGACAATGTTAGATTGCAATATATTAGACATGACTATGAACCCACAGACTAGAGCGTCGCTGTCAAAGAGTATACTGGTACACCAGTGGCTTGCACCCCCTAGTTTGGTCTGTGTATGATTCTCACCTTTGCTTTAAGTCACTGTTAGCACACCTGTCTGGCTCTTCCTACTCCTGTGCGCTAAGTATGGATAAGGGAAGGTCGTATGCAGTACATTTACGTGCACTCAATGATGGATTTATTGCAATATTTCGATCAAAACTTGACTTTTAAAATGCATGTTAACACATCAGCCTTACTGAAAGTAGTGATCTCTTGCATCCCAACATTATTGTTTCTTGATTGTTTTTTATCTTGTTGTTTTTGTCCTGTTATGTACAGCACTTTGTACAGCTGTGGTTGTTTTAAAGTGCTCTACAAATAAAGTTGAGTTGAGTTGAGTTGAGAATATCCATTGGCACAAGTTGGCAAAACTAGCAGTTAAATATCAGTTCAAATAAGTTTTTTGACTTTGATGGTCCATGATTATTTTTTGAGGACTTTTAAAAGGAGAATTTGTTCAGTTTATTCAGTTTATTATTTTTAAAAGTCATGAAGAAAATATAAACAATAAAAAAAAGACCTGTGATAAAATCATGGTCATGATTCTGCCGTTTGAATTCAGTTGTGAAATCTTCTGCCGTATCGCCCACCTCTATTTTGTTGTTTCTCTTTGACAGTTTCCTCCTGAGATGCATCACTTCAGGCCAAAAATAAACACATACACATGTACATGCATAAGACACTTAAGTCTGCAAAACCACCCACACACTTTGACTTTCAGTGATCCACACAGATCATGCCTTCATCTCCTTTCTTTTACACACTCTGTGCATACAAGTGTTTCATAACCTCCCAGACTGACAGGACCTCAAGGACGCTTCATTTACTTCATCATAATTACTTCTAAAGCAGAATGTTACTTTGACCTCTCTCTCTCTTTCTTATTATCTCTTTCTCTTGCATACACAAACACACCTCCTCTTCCTCCCTTCTGACCCTTTCGAGAAAGGATGTCTGCGATGGAGTCGTGTCAAAATGAAAATTGCCTGCGACGCTCCCCCTGTCTAGATGCATTGATGTAGCGATGTAGCACCGTGTGCCCTCTGTGACAAAGAGAGAGTGAGCGAACCACAGGAAAGTTGGAGGAGGAGGAGGAGGGGATATTTAAAGGCCCTCCTTCTCCTAATGATGCTCTGGTCTCACTGGAATTTGTCAGCTGGCAGGCTGTGTCACGCTCTGTAAACTGCACCATGCCAGAGGGAAAGACCACGCTGAAAGAGGGGGCTGTGAGGTGGAAGTGTCAGGAGAGCGAGCGGGTGAATGTTCTCATAATTGCCTGGAGGTATTCAACCTTTATCAAAGTGAAGAGGCCTGAGGGAGCATATGAAATAGCAGCCCCGACACCCCACCACCCTTCAACTCAGTGCTCTGTGCTGGGGTTTCAGAAAGAATGAGGCGTAGAGGAGAGCAGAGTGTGTACTAATGTCATCTGAGGCTGTCACGGTAACTGCGAAAATGAATTACCGCTGCGCTGAACGAGCCAGTCACGGCGCACGAGAGGCTAACATCGCAACCTCACATGAACTCGCTTACCCTGACGTCTGTCTAGAGGGAAACAATGGCATCTCAACCAAATATAACTTCACTCTTTTGGGAGCATTTCACCTTTCAGCCAGATGAATAATGAGAACAAGCAAATTAAGAAGGAGGCAAAATGTAAGTCTGCGCTTAAAAGATCCCTGAGAAACAAGGAAACAGATTTGAGGTTCATCCAGAAACTCATGTTGTGTTCCAGTTACCTCCGAAGTCGGATGTCGGAGCTGGGAATGACATTACACCCGAGTTGACGGCTGTTCCAGTGAACAAGTCGGAAAACTAAGATGGACACCTACTGTTAGCTGTTGTCAGTTGTTGTTAGCAGTTGTTGGTTGTTGTTAGCTATACCAGTTGTAAACAAAGCATAACACAGTATTTTACTCTTACAAACACCATAGCACCGTGTTCACAGCTAGACGTTGGGCAGAACAATATATACGACTTATTTAATTTCACAAAAACAAATCAGAAGTGCTAACAAATAATACATTACGAGAGCTTTCACTGTTAGTCTTTACTGTTGATAAACTGCACTGCCATCTTGGATTATGACGTCGTCAAGTCGGGGTTGATGAGGATCGTCCAACTTTCCGAGTCGGAAATCCGACTTCAGGGCGGCGTTCCAGATGAATTTCCGACTCGGAGCCCGACTTCCGTGTACAACTGGAATGCAGTATTACCATCCATCCATTGAGCTCTCTGTGATTTTTTTGGTCCTAGTTGCCAATGTAAACGCCTTGTAGACGTCCTATCTGGTTGAGAAGATGGTATAGTTTGGAAGTAGACGTTAACTCAACAAGCTCTCCATGATCCACAGACCAGTAAAAGATATAATCTATAAAGAACCACAGGTAACACTTTACAATAATCATAACTTATAAATGGTAAATAGACCATTTATAAATGGTAAGCAGATAGTTTATTAATGTTTAATCATCATTTCTAAATAGTGTATAGACCAGTAATAAATTGTAAATTTTATAATTGTAAAAACCTAACCCTAACCCTGACTTTACAATAACCATCTAAGTAATGTTTATAGGTAGTTTATAAAACACTTATTAATCATTTGCAAAGTATTACAAACATCAGTTCCACTTTACAACAACCATCCAAGTAATGTTTATAGATGGTTTAAAAACCAAATATTAACCATTTACAAAGTGCTACTGACACACATTTTAATCTAGATGTTTTACAACCAATATTAAAACCCTATATAAACCTTTAATAAATAGTCAATTAAAAATGAATGAAAAAGGATGATGATAAACTATCTATTTGCCTTTTATGATTGGTCTATATGCTGTTTTTAAATGATGATTAAATATTAATAAACTATCTTTATCTTTGTGATCTATCTTAAGTTGTTTGTGATCCATCTTATCATGTAAGAGTAGGGATTGATTCAGAGCCAGTTCCCTCAGGACCAGCACATTCTCAGCGTAGATAGTGTCTGCTGCATGTCTGCACTCTGTGTTGTCCGTGTTGTTTTCTTGGTGTAATCAAACTAAACACTCTCTTTTATTCGATGGTGCGTCTCCGCTGAGTGTCATTAGTTTCTTGCAGGGTTCGGCACAGATCATTTCACCCATATGTCATTAAAACCTGTGAGAGAAAGAGTCAGAGGCCACTGTGTTCATACAGAAACCACAGACAAAGACAGAGAATTGCTTTTAAAGAAAGCACCCTGAGACACAAGGGGATGAAGGATATGAGGAGAAAGTCTGAGTAATAAAAACGTGTGCTGGGCAGGGAGAGATGACACTTCTCTGAACAACCCCTCTGAGGTCGATGTGCTGTCTGCCCTTTGTTGGATCATACTGAAGGACGGGTGACCTGGGCTTTGTCTGGATCTACAGCAGCCATCAGGAGTGTCAGGGGCACAAAGTTCTTTCATGACTTGGTGTAAGAGAGCAGAAACAGTGAATAGATGCATCAAACTTCACAATAAAACTCATCCGCTATGAAGCTGTCAGAAGTGTTAACTCATCGCTTCAGTTCGTCTGAATTCTGTTTGACTCTATAGTGTAAATGTAATTGTCTCTAACGTCAGTGTTTTATTCATTAGATAATTTCTTGTACTGTGACACTTTGATTTAGATCTATAAACACCCGTCTCTACAAGCTGAGAGAACAAAACAGCTCAGTCATGGGAAACTTTCTCTGAACAGTGTTCAAATGATTCTGAAGGCTTTTCCAATTATCATATCACTCTACATTTTTAGTGCAGATAGAAAAACTCAGTTGTAGGTCATCACTCTGGGGGAAAACAAGAACACTTTCAGCCAATTTGTTTTAATCGTATGCATGATATAACAGCATTATTATGCTTTCCATCCATCATCTGAGATTGCGTTTGTTTTTCTAACTGCTGGTCGGCTGAGTGGTTTGTAGTTTTGCATCTTTAACCCTTCAAACCTGGCGATGACGGAATTTGTTTATTTTTCATGGAGCCTGTCATCGACACAGATTGGATGTTTCTTTTTTTTTTCATACAGTTTACCAGCTAGAATAATTATTCCTGCCCTGTGGTTGGAGTGCAGGTCAACCAGCAGGACTCAGGCCTCCGGAGCAAGTGAGGGTTAAATATCTTTGCTCAGAGGCTCTTGTAGCTCTGCGAGTACACCAGAGAATCAGAGTTTAAAGTCCTCCAGTTTAAAATACGCCCTCTTGTTACTGAGAGATGGCGCTAAATGCTGATCTTTGTTGCTGAACAGGAGGAGTCAAGATACAACACAACCCAAGAGTCATATCATGGGGATGCAGGTCATCTCCATGGCAACAAATGTGATACCACGATCTCTGAGATCTGCTTTTTTCTCGTTAAGAGCGATCGATTCAGCGACTTTTCTGCTGTAAATCACTGTCTCTGTATCCTCTCCTCTCTTTTCTCCACATACTGTCCTCTCTCTTGTTCTCATTTAATTCTCCTGCTCTCTTTTTTTCACTCTCTCATCGCTGCTCTATCTCTCTTATTGATGTCTGTATCTCCTGATCTCTCCTCCAGCTTTGCCCATGGACTCTAAGCTGGCGGTGGTGTTGAAAGAGATGGATGCTCACTGCACTCAGTAATCCCTGCAGCAGCCATTTAGATAATTGAGACACTATTCCTGCCTGCTGTCTCGCCACTATACTCACATGCATATAGACAACATTTACTCACCTCTGTTGCAGTGGATGTATTCGTAGTTGCTAGTGGAAATGTCCTGTTTGCCTATGTGTGTGAATGTGTATGCCTCTGTCCATTTTCAGTAGCTGTGAGTTTGATGTTTGTTTTTGTTAAGAGAACAGAGGAATCTGTAAAAGGATGCAGCAGGGAGAGAAATGTGACAGCCATCATGGGCCACGGAGAATACACAAAGAGACGCTAAAACTCGCACAAACACAAACAGACGTGTGTGCGCTTGCTAAGATTTTTCCTATGCTTTGTATTGTCAATGATACACTATGGTGTTTTTGTTAAAAGTCTGTTTTAATTAATTAGAGCAGCAGCGTGTGGGGGATGGAGGTAGCATTTTCGGTGTCTTTATAGTGAATCATGTCAGAGACACTGACAAAAATAACCGGCGGTATGGAGGGACACTGTGGGAGCGAATAATAGACATGTTTTTGAGCAACAGGACACAGCCAGAGAGAGTTCAGGTCATGGGGAACTTTCTGTTATCTCGAGTCCAGAGAGGAAGCCGGCCAGCAACAATATGTGCATGTTTGTAGAAGAAGTCACATTGTTGGCTATCAGACACCAATGTGAAGGCCAGGAATAGGACTAATGACGCCATTAGGGTTGTATATGAAGGCAAGAAGGAAATGTTCTAGGGATCCTAGGGATTTTTGGGGAGATTGTCATTAGTTGTGTTTGATGCCAGCTTGACTCTATCTTCATGTGGTTCATTTTTGCATCTCTGCATCTATGAATTCCACTATAACAATAGCTACATTAACTTGGGCACAAATAATCAGAACAAATGCTCCATCGGAGTAAAAGTGCGTCAGGAAACATGTCGATCGGAAGATTCTGATCCAATTTGGCTCAATCGTTAAGAAATTGAATTCTGATCGAGAGGGGTGGTTTATGCCAATCATTATTCCGAAAAGTGTCCATGTAAACACTTATTCCGATTGTGACTAACCTAACTCGATCTTCGCTCTTTAGCCTTTGCCTTATTTATTGGGGCCAGTACAGGAGGTTTCATTATTAACACTCTGACATAACTGCAGGTTAGGGTTGTATTTTTGTAATATTTATTTATTATTTATTTTCTTTCAGTTCTATTTCTGTAAAACAGGGGTGTCAAAGTCAAATGGACGGAGGGCCAAATAAAAAATTTAGCTACAAGCCGAGGGCCGGACTGATCGAATGTTCATTGAAAATTTTTTGAATGACGCATATAGTCTTGTGAACCTAATTGAACCTACTGAAAACTTAACAAATATATTCCAATATGATCAGATAAATAAAGCAATATTTTCTTATGGCTCTGTCAGTAATCTTTAATTTTCAACAGACACAAAAGACAAATTTCCTTTATATAAAAATCCCCATAACATGAACATTAAATGAAAGAAACCGGTATTATTCAAGGCACCATCAGTAGCCTATATTTTCTATTTTAGCAAAAGTGGGCTAAATTTACTTCAAAGAAAAAAATAATAATAGCAATTTTCTATCATCCACTCAACTGAAATATTTTTAAAATATCGTTTTAATTCCTCGGCCTTCTGTAGCCTTTGTTCCATGTCCATATTCTTGTTTTTGTCCGCGTGTTTCGTTTCATAATGTCGTCTCAGATTATACTCTTTCAGTACCGCCACACTTTCTCCACACAGAAGACACACAGGTTTTCCAGCTACCTCCGTGAACATATACTCCGACTCCCACCTTGTTTGAAACCCCCGGTTCTCAGTGTCCACCTTCCGTTTTGCCATTTTTGATGGGTATCTGAAAGTTAATTTTACTGTTATGCTGACGACTGCTGTGCTAATAAATATTGAAATGAAGCAGCCTACTGCTCGGTGCGTCACCGTTGCATTGTGGGAAATGTATTGGTGCGTGTAAAAGATCTGCGGGCTGCCGGCTTGCTGCGGTCTGCGGGCCGGTTCTAATAATAAATCAAGATCATCCCAGGGGCCGTAAAAAACCTTCTCGCGGGCCGGATGTGGCCCGCGGGCCTTGACTCTGACATATGTGCTGTAAAATTCACCAAAAAACCACTTAGGTGGCCTGGTTTGTTAAAAGCAAAGGGAAACCTTGACCAAAGTTACACAAACTGTGTTGATCAGTAGGCTGGCTGTATTGTTGCATCCCTCGTGGACACAGACTTTTACTCTTACAAACTAATCCCTATCTCCTTCTCTTTTTTATGCATTGGCTCACCCACAGTCTTTAGCTTATTGTTGTCTTGACGTGAGTTTGATTTTCATGCATCAGCAGCTGTTTGTCTTTTTTTTTTTGTCAGCAGGAATCAAAGAGTGCCTTGAGACTGTAGCTTTTTAAACACCATAAAACTGCCAGCCTAATAGAGATGTCAATCAGTCAGTCAGTCAGCTCATTAGGTCTGATTGTTGACAACATATTTTAAATTGTCTCAGACTCTGCTGCATATTTTGGAAACCAGATTCTTGCTGTAGTACTTTTTATAGTTTGTTCAGATTTCCATCATTTAGCACAGACTCTTCGATTCTTACATATTATTAAATGTTGGTTTCAGAAAATAGCATTTGGCGTAGAAAAACCTGATACCCTCAGGAAGGAGCCTGTCCAATCTGACACTGACTTCAGTGGACATGAAAGAAAATGGCCAAATCTTTGTTGGCACACCCTCCCTGTAGCATTAGAGCCTGAGTTAAGTGTCACTACAGGTGTGATGTATTTGAGTGTTTATCTGCTCTGACAGAGTCCACAGGTGTGCTGGGTGTTAGTTTCCACAGGCATGTCTGAAAGCAAAATGACATAAATCACTGTCTTACACAGCATCCACATGCGGGCGACATGCACTCATTCAGCAGCACATACACCGCAGACTTAAAAGAAGTCAAAGACATTGAAGCTGGAAAGGAAACTTAAGAGTCCTTAATTAGTTTCTTAAATCTCCCGTTAAGTGAGGGCCGTAAATGTTAAGGGATTTGTCTCGGTGACGTGCTGCAGGGATCAGTTAAAGCCTCCGGTTACTCAGCGCATACTGATGCGCATATTGTGCACGTATGAGAGGAATTCACTGACAGGATTTTTCACTTGTTGAAATGTAAAACCAAGATTGTGCAGATGCCCCTTGGGTAAGTGAGTATTAGAATCCAATGCATAGTAATGTGAGAGGCTTCCTGGATAAAAGAATTGTATGAACTTGACAAACCAGCATTTGCACTAAGTGTTACTAGAAGATGTTAGATGCACATGAGCTAATGTCAGATAGTCAAGATTGTAGCACAACAGGGTTTCAAAATTACAAAGTCAGTGATATAGAAAATCATGCAGTACTATATAAACATGCATCGATAAATCAGCCGGCTGATCGATCAATGCAAATTTCCTTGATTTTGGGGGATCGGTGATCGGCTGATGCTCTCATATGAAACCGATTTTATCCACCGATCTTATCTACCTCAGCAAAAGTCTGAAAGTCAGCCGTTGTAGCTTTTTGCTCTGCCAGAATGACAGGCCCGCCCACCAGGTCATGTGTACACACAACAGTTATCCGGAGCATGATCAACCAAGCATGTTGAACCCACTACAAGGAAACCTAAAATTCAGGACAGTTTAGTGGTGGTTTAGGTTGT